TTTAATATATTTCCTTAAAATGCTTAAATAGGTAATATCTAAACTTAATAGTAAAGTTATCATATAGTTTGAAAATTTAAAAAAAAAGTAGATTGTCTTACGAACCTCTTGTACGATAAGAAGTAATTATAACGAGTTTTAATAACCAATAAACTTTTACTATTTACTTTTTACCCCTGTTGTTATTATTCTAATTCTTAGTCAATGTATTACAATTGATCCCAATCATCATGATTACTAGCTATAATATCTCAGTTTCAAACAAATGTAAATTATGGTAAACAATCTGTTTGGTCCTTGGATTGACAAAAAAACTCATGGTGGTTAAAATAGTCGACGGTAAAATAAAATGGAAAAAAAATGAAGAAAGGTAATTACGCTATTGCCCTTTTAAGGCTTTGACCTAATGTGTTTTTTTTTAAAAAAAGGGAACGAGGCCATTGAAGCAGTTTCTTAATCACGAGTGTGTGTGTCTATAAATGTACACACCATCTCCTTTCTCCAGATTTTCTCTCCACTCTCTCATCTCAAATCTCTCAACACACAAAACCAACAATAACCAATCTTCTTCCGATGACGCATCTCAACAAAAAACAGAGGTTAGAGAAGAACCATAACCATTTCGACGACTTACATGACGATCTCATCATCTCTATCCTCCGTAAACTCGCTTCCTCCGCTTCTTCTCCTTCCGATTTCCTCACCGTACTCTCCACGTAAGTCTCTGCTCCGGCGACTGCATTTTCTCGATTTCCGTTGTGACGCAGTCTCTTTTGTTGTATTACAGATGCAAGAGATTGAATCGGTTAGGTTTACAACCTCTGGTTTTATCAAAAGCCGGTACTCAAACCCTAGCCGTCACGGCGGAGAAATGGTCAGATTCTTCTCATAAATTCCTCAAACTCTGTGTTAATGCCGGAAACATCGACGCTTCTTACGCTCTCGGAATGGTTCGTGTCGCTACCTTCAAAATCTCCGTTTCGATTTTTGTGATTTTCTTCTGATTTTCGATTTTGTTTCCTTCTTCAGATCCGATTTTACTGTCTTCAAAATCCAGTGAGCGGCGCGTCTTTAATGGCTAAAGCCGCGATTAAATCTCACGCGCCGGCGCTTTATTCGTTATCGGTGATTCAGTTTAACGGAAGCGGCGGTTCAAAAACCGATAAGAACCTACGCGCCGGCGTTACTCTTTGTGCACGCTCTGCTTATTTAGGCCACGTCGATGCGTTACGAGAGCTTGGTCACCGTCTTCAAGACGGTTACGGTGTTCCTCGTGACGTCTCTGAAGGTCGTCGTCTTTTGATTCAAGCTTACGCGCGTGAGCTCGCGTGTTCTCTACGCTCTTACCTCTCTCTGAAATATGGAGACGAGATCTTAACTGATTTAAGCGTGGTTCCGGTTCAGGAGATTCATCCGGTTTACCGGTTTTTGAAGGAGTGGTTTAGTTCGGGTCGGGTTGATTTATCGGAAGGGTTAAGGATGTGTTCGCACGGTGGTTGTGGAAGGCCGGAGACTCGGGCTCATGAGTTCCGCCGATGTTCTGTTTGTGGGAAGGTGAATTATTGCTCACGTGGTTGTCAGGCGTTGGATTTGGAGAGCCACGCATAAGATTGCATGTACGCCCTTGGATTTGTGGATTGCGGTACCGGCGGAGATTGGCGTCGACGGTGAAGCGGTGGCGGTGGAGATTGATGATAATCATGGTGAGCGGTAACGGCTCTGACGCTTTTTAAGTAAATGACTAAAATGCCAACAGTTTCTTTGACTGTTGAGTTTTTTTTGAAAATTCTTAATTAATTAGTTTGGGCGTTTCTGAATTCTCTGATACTAAAATGACATGTTATTTTAAATAATATAGTTTTTTTTTCCTTACATATTTCATGAATTTATGGTGCAAAGGTGAATAGAAATATCTGTAGAAAAGTATAAAGCAGAACATAGGAAAAAAAATCTTAAAGGTTTAACTCTATTATACGATACAGATACGAATACAAAGTTTTAATAAAATTTATTTCCAAGAAACAAGCATATAATTATTTCGTGATATTTTTGATGGAAGTATTGACAAAGAGCCATCAATTTTTTTGAAAAAGAAAAACATGGATTCCACCATCAATTTCGTAATTCGACACAAGAACCATGTAATACAGGCGTAAAACAATAAACTTCAAATACGATATTGAGATTTAACTCCAAAAGAAGGCTAAAATTTGATACTTTCGTTTATTTTTAGTTCATTCACCCAAAAAGTAACTATAAGACAAGAGGCTCAAGGCTGTTACTACAATACAGAATCTTTTAGAGAATGGCACGAGAAAGCAATGAACAGCAAAACCAACATGAACATTTGGACTGACCCAAGCCAAAGTTTGGTCAATTCGGTTTAGTTTCGGTTTTTAACTCGGTAAGAGGAAGCATAGAAACTCGGTAATCGGTTCGGTTCGAAACCACTGAACCGAAATTACAAATCTGGCGAAAACATCAAAGAAGCTGCATTATCGTTGCGGTTGAGAACCCACAAGACATCATTGTACAATGAGCTAGGCCTTAGGAAGAGAGAGATGTCCTCAAGTTCATTCAGTGCAGTGATGCTAATGCCATTGTTGGAAGGCACACTCCTGGTAGTGAACATTGGGATGATCCCTACCAAGAACAAACGAGAAAACACATCATTGGTTGTTTTCTGGCTTCTAGCTCGCATCGTCCTTCAGATGCGTGGAATCATTTGTCCTGCTCACAAATATGATGTCATTGTAAAGAGAATATATATCTTTCAAGCTCCAATATTGGAGAGTTTGATTATGTTATTACAAGAACTCGTATTTTGATCATATGGTATGTTTGTTGTATAGAAAGATCTCTTCTTTTACAAGGAGCCTGAAGAGACTACGTAGGATTGTGATGAAGTTTGGAACATAAGGCAAAAACATAGAAAAATAAAAGTGAAAAACCCCTAAACAAATTTAAATACCTAAATTTAGTAGGAAGACATGAAGTATCTTCGAATCGATGACCAGTATCTCTTATGTCTGTGTAAACTGTTTGTTTATTCTCAATCACTTCTGCAAATGAAAAAAAGTTTTCTGTTGGCTTCCATGATGTGATTTGGCGTTTTTCTTTTTGTTATGACTCTGTTTAAATTTCCATTTCAGGCGATTTTAGAAGTGTCTCATGATGAACGTTAGTATACAGAAATGTTCATCAAAGTTTTAAAGAGTTCTTTGTTTATCTCCAAGATTCAGTGATCTCCTGGAACAAGGGATGTCATTCTTCTCTCATACGCGTAACTGACAACTCTAATGTCCCACGGCTTTATACTAATTTGGTTTGATCTTTCAAGAAATTTCTCAAGTTTTCTTGTGCATGTTTCTATTTTAATCAATGGCATTTTGTGAGACGTGATATTTATGTTATAACTTCATTCATTTGAAACCCTACAACACCATTTATTTGTTGTTGTTGTGCCAACATAATCTCATCAGTTGAAATCAAGATGAGCAGATAAATGACGGACAAAACAGAGGAAAAACAAAACCGGTGAAACTACAGATATAAACCAGTTTCCAGCAGACTATCTTTTCTTTCTAGTGAGATGATTGAGAAGAATGCATACTCCAAACATATTTAGTTAAGCTGCATTTGTTGGTCTCCTTTTAACTATTTTTTCATTACTTATGACGACGAATTGATTCCACATAGTTGAAGTTCTTCCGGACTAGATCTTCTCTTGCAAGCATGTTACCAAAATTTACATTAGTTCCCAGACGAATTCTCAAAGATCTCTCAGTGAAGGAAAGATAAAGAGATACATCACGGTATATAGTGGAACCTTTTGAAATTCATATTGCAATCAAGTAATATATCTATATAAACTTGAAGATGTTTTACGAATCTACGAAATCCAATAAACACTCTTTAGAGGTCTAAACAAAGAGTCTTGACTCAATAGAACAATGTCAGAGTAAGACTTTCCAGTAAGAAAAGAAAAAGAAAAAACCATTCTAAGAATAGTAACAGTATCAAACTCTACATTGCAGCATTCACAAACAAGTGTAGGCAATACTATTCTACAACCAAAAGAAAAACCATAAGATCTAAGTAAAAAATTAGAGAAGAAATCTATGGTTCATTTGATGTGATCTGATGTTTCCTACTTGGACCTCTCCTGGTACAAAAATACACAATCTTGATGTCAAATTACATCTCAAAACAATTCGTTTTTTTTTTTGTGTAAAGATTGGAAAATTTTTGATTGTGTAGTGTTTCACTTACTTGTTCTGTATAGGGCTATAGCGACTCCTCGGGATTTTTCGTAAGCTATCTCCTTCACCACCAAGAGATTCTCCTTCATCTCCTTGCTTATTTGCAAATCTCTCAAATCTCTATGTCCCTCTATGTGAACTTGCTGCTAAAGAAAGCTAACAAAAGCAGAAACAGAGCTATTGAGATCGATCTTGATGGATGGAATCTCTTCATTTCTGAATTCTTTTTGAGGTCTTGAGAAAACTTTTGGGTAGAAATATGATGAGTTAAAGAGAGAAGGAGATAGAGAAAGACAACTTGTAAAGCTTGTTTGCTTTGTAAGATATGTATTGTTCCTGTGACTTTTTGAGATCTGATCACGTGAACTTAGTTTTTTTTTTCTTCTCCGAATCATTTATTACAGACGCTGAGATATTTTTTTAAATCTGAATCAACTAATTAATGGAACATTCACTGATGTTGAGAGTGTCCTCATTTTCATACAAGCACATGTATACACGTTTATTTATGTGTTTACCAATATTAGTAAGTCCAACTTCATGAGATCTCTTTAGCAAAAAATAAAACTTCATGAGATCTCAAAAGGTGCAGGTAAAACATTAACAGGCTGTGTTTTGTTTCTATGCTAATTGCTAAGGCATCAACATTATTATTTTTTTTCACTTTTTTTTGTTCTCTTAACTAGCTTTATAGATAGAAAAAGACAATCAAATATTTGGGACTTTTAGTCATTTGCATGGGAAAATTGCAAAACAAAAATTCATATATATATAATAAGAGTTTAAATTTTACTAAATAAATTTTTGTAGAATTTAAGATCTAATTCTAATCTAATATAACTTTTCAAAAATTAAAACATTAAGTAGTAAATTAATAATAAAAATACAATTTTGTCAAATTGTTTTAGGTGAAACTAGCTACTATACCTTGGAGCTTTTCATTTTTTTTGGTAATCACCTTGGAGCTTTTCATTAGCATGGCGTTTCTTTTACAACTGGCAGATTTTTTTTTTTTTTTTTTTGATAAAGCTGGTCTATTTTTTTGATCAAAGCTCAACTTATACTGTATATACTTATATATATATATATGCCACTTTTTTTTTTTTGCCCTAATATATATATATCCACTTTAAGAGTACGTTATGATGTAACAAAAGACCTT